CTATTCCTGACAGTGGTTGGTGGTCCTCCATCCTCCTCTCCTCCTCTGACAGTGGTGGGTGGTCCTCCATCCTCCTCTCCTCCTCTGACAGTGGTCAGTGGCAACTGCACTGACTTCCATCACCAGCTTTATTTAGGTGACTCTTGGGTCTGCAGTTCCCACTGTTCTAAACTGAGGTCTGTGTTTTCCAACACTTCCACTCAGACTTCCTACTTCTCTCCATCATGCCTTTTCTTTCTTTCCCTTCAGTGAACAAACAGAAAGCTACAGGAGAGATGGCAGAGAGGACTGGCACCTTCAGCATTTTCTCCTTTCCTCTTCCAAGTCTAGCCCAAGATGGAAACAAAGTTCTCTACATGGGACCTGCATATTGCAGAGATCTTAAGATCTCTCATTAGAGAGAAGTACACAACCCTTGTAAAATATTTTAGAAAAAGCAATCTTACACAGAAAAAAAGATTAGCATATCCCTTCACCCAAAGGCCATAAAAAGCACAATTTTCAAGATGCTGGGTGTAGCTGTCTTTGGTGGAAACTGTCTTTGTTTAGGAAAATGTTGGATGGGCCATTTGAGTGTGAAAACAGCCCCCAAAGCAGGGTCTAGGAGGAGACAATGGAACAAGGGGGCAGATGAATGTTCTCTGTAAGAAAACAGAGAAATCTGAGGAGTTTTAGTCTATGAGAAAAAGAGCAAGAGAAGAGATGAAAGAGACGAAAGCAGCAGGACAGGGCAGCGCAGCCCTGCTGGGGCTTGTTCTAGAGGGCAGTGCTGCTTCACAGGCCATCTCACGTTGTGTGCTCCCACAGCCACACAATCTCCCCGAACTTCCACAGGTATCAAGACCTTGTACAGAGGATCCCAGTACTCAAGGAAAAGGCTGAGTCAATTTGAGATGAAAAGAAGGTATGAGATGACAATTCGTATGTGAATTAATTCAGCACATGCAGAAACTCTGAGCCAGAGCTGACCTTGAGAAGGTAAACAGCACCCCCAGAGAATGCACAGAAGACCTGCACCCCCAGACCTGGAGGATCCCAAGGGAAGACTGAATACAGATACATGTTCTTTTTTTGTTTGTTTGTTTGTTTTGTGAGGGAGATCAGCCCTGAGCTAACATCCGTGCTAATCCTCCTCTTTTTGCTGAGGAAGACCAGCTCTGAGCTAACATCTATTGCCAATCCTCCTCCTTTTTTTTTTCCCCAAAGCCCCAGTAGATAGTTGTATGTCATAGCTGCACATCCTTCTAGTTGCTGTATGTGGGATGCCACCTCAGCATGGCCAGAGAAGCGGTGCGTCGGTGCACGCCCAAGATCCCAACCCGGGCCGCCACTAGCGGAGCGCCCGCACTTAACCGCTAAGCCACGGGGCCGGCCCAAGATACATGTTCTTAAAGTGTGTTTTAAAGCAATTAAAAAGAAAATCCATAGTTGAGTATACACCATATATGCAACAAGTACTCCTTCTCCACCATCACCATCATTTGTCACGTGGTTGAATTCCTTATAAACATCACAGCACTTCCCTCTCACAGGTCTACCGGTTTGCTTCCCCGTCACTCTGCTGTCGCCTGTGACCTTGTTTCTAATTTTTCATCATAGTAAATAACACCAAAGTTTTTTGTATATAAATCTTTTTTAGGATTTCAGGGATATCTAGAAGTGAAATTTAGGAGTCAGGGGCATAAGCATTTTTAAAGTTCTTGATACAATGCAAAATTATACTGTCAACATTACCAAGTCACACTTTCCAAATACTGAGTGTCTCCATTTTTAGAAAACTCCATTAATTTGGATTTTAAAATTAGTATCTCACTAATTTAATTTGTGCTTCTTTGACTACAATGATCTAACGTTTTTTAAAGTCTGCCGTTTGCATGCCCACTCTTGTGAAGTCTCCACTCCTGTCTTATTTGTCTACCACCCATTTTTCTTTGTGTTTCCTTATCAACTCGCATGAATTATTTCTACTTAAGGCTATTAATCTTTTAAGTATTGCATTTTTCAACATCTTCCCAGTTTATCTTCATTTTTGTTTGTATGGTTCACTGGTGGGCAATTTTGCATTTTTATGTAATCCTATTTATCATTAATTAACTCATTAAGTGCTATGGCAATTCAACAGAACAACCTATCAACCTTAACTTTTAAGTCTGATCATAATATATTAGAATAATGATTTTCAAGAACCACACTAACATGTAACATCATTTAATTATTTAACATATACACATATATTTTAAATAGAAAAAAGAGTTACTTACTGAATCCAAAAAGCAAAGGTAAGATCCTGAGCTCTGTGCTATTGCTTGATTTTTAGAATATCCGACTGTTTAAAAAAAAAAAAGAAAAGCTCTTTTACAATTCCATTTCAAGGGTATTCTCTTTCAGAAAGCCTGGTGTAATATATACTATAAGGAAGCCAGGAACATCTTATACTTTCAATTAAAAACCAGGCTTGCTCTGGAAGAAATGAAGAGGAAATGGAAAACGCCACCACAGTCAGAGACTGAACCTGAGTGCGGGGATGGGACACCCCCGGTCCCCCGTGCCAGCACATACATGAGACGCGCCCAGGGGCGGAAAACAGATTCACAAACTTTTATTGAGTACAGCACTAACCTAAGTGCTGGGGAACAGTTTTCAAAAAACAAAATTAAAATGTCCCAGAGGGAAGTGCATGAGTGGTTACCTGGAAGGGACACTTTCTATAAGGTCTCTGCTAATAGAGAATGGTCACCTGGTGGGAAGGATGACGTACCCATGTGTGATCGGTTGGTAAAAGTTCTTTGACCTGGACACACTACGGGCAGTTTCTGAACACGTACTTCAGTGCTAAGTCACAGTCTGCATCTGAACACACACATCTTGTGACCCGGCAGCTCCACCGCCAGGTGAGACCCAACAGAACACATGACGTGACTGTCCTAAGCAGCCCAACATGGAATGGAAAAGCTGGCAATACACCACAATGAGAATGGACAGTCCTGAGTTGCACACACAGTATCGGTGTTGCTCACACAATTGCTGAGCCAAGGGAGCCAGACGCAAGGAACAGACATCGAGTGCTGATACTGACACGGAGTCCGAGGCAGCAAGTTTGTCTGTGCTGTTAGAAATCAGGAGAGTGGCTGCCCTGGGGAGAGGGCAGTGAGCAGAGGGGCACAGGGGGCTTCTGGGGGCTGGTGATGCTGGCTCTTCTTCGGGCTGCTGGTTAGACGTGTGTTGTTGGTGAAAATTAATTGAGCTGTACAATTATGACAAGTGTACTTTTCTGTATGGATATTATATTTTAATAAATGTTTTAAAAAATCCTTGCCTTCGAAGAGATTACAACTGAGTTGGAAAAAGCATTAAAGGACAACCTACAACCTGCGTTAAATGCCAGATGAATGGCGCTGGAAAAGCACCAGGGAGGCTCGTTAAGAGAAGACAGAGGTCACGGAGGCGGGGCTTGGAGGGGGCCTGAGGCTGTCAGAATTTAAGTAAAGGGAGAACAGTGTGAGCAGTGTCCCCAGTGATGCAATGAGGGCGGCGAGCAGGGGAGCACTGGGCTGTCCCTGCAGGAAAGGTTTCCGAAGAGGGAACCGCAGGCAGAAATCAATACGAAGCGAGCTCAGTCTGCATGCTGAGAGCAGGGCAGGTTAGAGGACGCATTTAGCCCAAAAAGAGGGGCTGAGGGGACTTTGCCTAGAAAAGAGGTTGCCGACACCCGAATCACGTTAACCAGACAGTTACAGCTTTGGTGCCACCAACAAAAGTCACCCAAAGCAAACAGATGTGTGCAGAGTTGAAACAACATATCCCTCTGGAAGTCAAGGCTACGCGACCTGAAGACACTGTAATCCCCAGGGGATACCAGTGGGGTGTGCTTCAGGCCCACGTGCCCCCAGGTTGGTTTTCTGCTCTGAGGAGAGCGCCCTCCAGGCGGGGAGAGAATGTGGGTGTCTCCTGCTCCTCAGCTGCTGTCTGAGCAAACTGGGCACCACTGCCGACCCCCCCGAAACAGAGACACGTCGGCCTCACTCAGGGCATCACAGGGCGGACCACAGTGGTGCCCTGCTGCAGCGCTGTTTCCACACAAGGTAGCAGCTTGATTTCTAGCATTAATCCTAGAGCTTGGCCAACCCAACCAGTCAGCAGAATGGCCTCAGACCTCAGAGAACCACAGGTATAGCAAATGCAGAGAAAGGAGTGCATGCAAGGGGAGGCAGAGCCGCCCCCACGCCTGGGGACGGATGAGCAGCCCTCAGCAGAACAGCTGTAGCTGAATCTCCATCATCACTGCCAAAGCGAGGCAGCCCGAGACCTCACAGCAATCACAACCAGAGCTGCTTGCAGAAGACGAACAACGCGGAGAGACTTTCCACAATCACGTTTAAATTAGCAGAGTCGTGTTTAGAAAGTTGCTTATAAGAGTTGAGTTTTAGAGGGGAAAAATCGAACACAAGAATTTGGATATTCATGAAGGAAAATGTATCTCACTAAGGAAGCTGGAAGTTTCTCACAATGAATCTTGTGTTTGGCAAAGACAAGGAATTTGCTTAATATTACTGCCTTGAAGAAAGTCAAATGTTTGTGCCAGGCCTGATGTTTGGGGAGGCCAGTCCCTTTGTGAGGGGAGCCAGTTGTCATGGTCACAGCAGGAAAAACTCATGCTCCGTGCGATATTAACATTCCTCACTCTGGGAGAGAAGAGGCTGGGATTGTGTTTTATTTTGATTTTAGCCAGTGACCACATCATTAAGAAATGTTTTGCTCTACTATGATACGAAATAATAATAAATGAATCTTAATCCAATTTAAATAACCCAGCATTCCTGAAAATAGACACTTTGGATCTATGCTGTCCAATAGTCAATATAACTTTTCCTATTTAAGAGAATATTGTTATAGGAAAATATGTCCTTTCAGATATAATCAAACTAACTCCCTTTTATTAATGTGTAATAAAGGATTCCCATGAATTCACCTCACCCAACTTCCAAAAGACAGCAGGATGACTTCATTTCTTCACAATATTACAAGTAATTTTTTTGTTATTGATCGAATACACACAAATGTGATACAGCTCATATCTAATCTATAAAAACTATTTTATGAAAGATAAAACTTGTTTTTAAAATGGAGATTAGGCAAGCAATCACAACAGTTATCAAAATGCCTTCAATTTACTTTTGTTCAACTATGGAAGATGCAAAACATCTTAATTAAAGAATATTTTTAAAGGATGTTCATGTTAGTTTCAAAAAACCACAGTTTGTTTACATGCGTCTCAGAAGCAACTTGAAATAGACGTTCTATAATAACTGATTTATAAAAAATTTTCTATTTCAAACAAACTAAAGATAATGAAAACAAGAAACAATTTGGGGAAAAATATCAATGTCTTCCAGATGCACGAGATGACAATGATGGTGACGATGACGACAGAACAGCTGCTAAGGCTTCTGCACACTGGCCTATCCTAAGAACCTCGCATGCATGAGCTCATCTCACACCCTCTCAGCACTTGGAGATGAGTACCTACCATTATGGCCTATTCACAAAGAAGGAAATCAAGGCAGAGATAGCTGGTGGACCGGAGCCAACCCACAGCCCGCCCAGGCCTCACGCTCAAGGGCTCTTCTCCGCCCCTCCGATCCCACTTCACTCCCTGTGAACCTCAAATTCTGCACCAGGAAAGCAGGACCACGTGCTGCTCTTGCCACCAAGAGGCACCTCGAGCAATGTTACCATGGCGATGCCCGAGAATACGGTTTGTCAATACGAACCTTCTAAAATAGCAGGGAAAAAAAAAAACCTCTCTTTTTAAAAGTCTTTCCGCTTTTAAAGGACCAAGTTTTAAAAATTATTTTTGATTTAAAATTTTTTCTGAAATATCCTGTACACTTTTCTGCTTTCCTAAAAAAGAGTACACTGGGTGCTATTTGTTAGGAAACTGGTGCAGGGCAGGGAGCACCTTCTAAGAGAGAATTTTCTGTTTCATTCTTTGAAACCCAACTATTTCTTAACTCACTCCACCAACACCCCCTCTCCCTGGCCCCAGAAAAACCCAAACTATTGGCAGAGAGCTACAAAAGGCAAGGGCATTCCCCCAGCGGCCCTCAGGCTGGGAGGACGTGCGTTTACACCACTTCCACGAAGCAGTGCACTGTTTTCGTCATGAGCCAGTGTTCAGAAAGGTTAACTCCATTTGAGGGTGGGCCCCGAGAGCCCTGAGAAAGATGCCCAGGATTCAGATCCCCGCTGTGCCGTCGATGGCGAGTCCTCCTGGGCCGCAGCACTCCCCGGGACTCAGACAAGAACTGCATGAGCTCGCCTGAGGGCACAGCCTCGAGTATCATGAGCAAGACCCCTGTGAAGGCGCCACCATCCAGGCACCTCAGGAGCCACCTGACCACCCAAAAGCTACCTGGAATGCGCCAATCCTACCCCCAAGCCCCACTGACCCACCCACCCTGAGAGGATCAGAGCAGCTACTGAGAGCCTGCCTTCCTGCAAGTCACACGCTGGGTCTGGAGAGGACCTCGAAGCAGAGTTAACACTCACGTGTGGGTTCCAGAGGGACCCCGACCTTTAGCCCGCCCACCCCTGAAATACGATGGGAGCTCCAAGACCTCCTCAGGACCATCCCACCATGGAGGATGTGAAGCTACACCATCCTAGGATATTTTAAAGCAGTGGTTCTCAGCCCTGGAAGCACCTTAGGATTCCTTAGGAAGCTTTCACAATCCCAGTGTGGAGGCTGCACCCCAGACCAACGACACGAGAACATCTTAGGGTGGGACTTGGGCATCAGGATTCCTAAAGCACCTAGATCATTCTAATAGGTTGAGGACCACTATTTAAAGGAAGACTTAACTCCTAAACCTACAGGAACCTGCCCACAGCTCCAGACTTGTCACCTGCCCTCCCTCTACCTTCAACCCCAGCAGCCTGCAGGCAGACGGTCTTCAAGTCTTATATGAAAACTTTAAAGTCAAACTAAAGGAAGCCAGATATATTACAATTAAAGCTAAGAATGCAAAGCTAATTATTCAATATAAAAACAGAGGATGAATGAAAAAAACCACCACACCATGACCAAGTATCACAAAATTTCAAAACTCAAAACATAAACAGAAAAATCTTAAACACTTTCAGAAATGATTTGTTATTAGTGCTGTCAAGTCAATTCCAACTCCTAGCATCTCTGTGGACAGCAGAGCAGAACTCTGCCTGGTCTTTTTGTGCCATCCTCTCACCTTCCAGCACTATATCAGACAATGCTCCACTGCTATTCATAGGGCTTTCATGGACAAATTTTTTGAAACCGGCTGGTCCTTC